TTTATAATGTTGGTAGACCCCCCCCCTTCGCCACACACATACAATTTGCTTCTGACACATGTGCTATTGATGAAGGAAAGTTATGAAATAACATAAGTGTCAAATACATATAAAGCGTAAGGGGGTAGGTGGAGGGATGACTGTGAAAGAGAAATGAAATATTCAAACCTGGCAAAAAAGAGAAATATTTTGCATTAGAAATCTCGAGTTTTTATTCAATACTTCTTTGACAAGCTGAATTTAAATGTGACTATTATCCTACAACAAAAAAATTCACGGTGTAGGGGGGGGGGGGGGGGGGGGGGGGTAGTCAAACTTCTTTCAGCACAAAATCTTTCTTTCAAACACCCAATTACCCTTCGACCTCGCTGAAACGTGCCTGTTAAAAGGGGGTGGGGATGGGGTGTGTGTCAACTTACGCAACAATGTTTGATACCTAAATGATGATTGACCTTTGCAAAAAAATAAAGTAGGGGGCTAAGCCTCCCCTAGCCCCCACAGTTCTGACGCCTATGAATCTGATTAACTTGATAATTTCATATAAATTCCCCATAGTACAGACACAAAGACGGACATTTCATTTGTACCTACGAATGTGGTACCCATAATGAACAGACAAGAAATTTTCTTAATTACTAATTATACCGACAGAAAAATTCATACCCATATTGATTTTTTGTACCAACCATTCATTCCCCACAAAGTACAGACAGCAAAAATCCCACAATGTACCTTACGTTGGTATGTCGGTCCGTCCGTCACAAAAACTTTAACCTTGCCCATAACTTTTGATTTAGTGGGGCTATGACTTTCATATTTCACATGTATATCCCTTGTGACAAGACCTTTCTTTGGGTACCACCAAATTTGACCTTTTGACCTTGACCTTGGAGTTTGACCCACTTTTACACAAAAATTCCAAACTTTTACTTTGGTCATAACTTTTGAATAGTAGGTACTAGGACTTTTATATTTGATATATGTATTGTTTGAAGCAAGACCTTTCATTGGATACCGATAATTTTGACCTTTTGATCTTGACCTTGGAGATTTATGTACTTATGAAAAAACTTTAACTTTGACCAAAACTTTTGAATGGTAGGGACTAGGGCTTTTATACTTCATATATGTAATTCTTGTGAGAAGACCTTTCATTAAATACCTAGAACTTCATTCTTTGACCTTGACCTTGGAGTTTGACCTACTTTTTAAAAACTATAACCTTGGTTGCAACTTTTTAACGGTGGATACTGGGACTTTCATTTTTCACATATGCATTTTCTTTTTGGCAAGACCTTTCATTGGATACCAAGAATTTTGACCTTTTGACCTTGACCTGGGAGATTTGTGTACTTACGAAAAAACTTTAACCTTGACCAAAACTTTTGAATGGTAGGGGCTAACGCTTTCATACTTCACATATGTAATCCTTGTGAGAAGACCTTTCATTAAATACCAAGAACTTTGATCCTTTGACCTTGGAGTTTGACCTACTTTTTTAAAAACGTTTACCTTGGCCACAACTTTGGAACAGTAGATACTGGGACTTTCATATTTCACATATGCATTCTTTTTGGCAAGACCTTTCATTTGATACCAACAACCTTGACCTTTTGACCTTGACCTTGAACATTTTTGTATTAATAAAAAGCTTTAATCTTGACTATAACTTTTGAATGGTAAGGACTAGGACTTTCATACTTCAAATATGTAATCGTTATGAGAAGACTTTACATTGGATACCAAGTACTTTAACCCTTTGACCTTGACCTTGAGTTCAGTGATGATTTCTAAATAAATGACATATGATAGGGTGTTCATATTACACACAATACGTCATAAAAAATGACATCTCACCCACAATGACACCGAAAGCGGGGGACCACAATTCCTGTTATTTCATTTATTTAACAGACGACCGGGTCATCCACGACTAAAACCACCAAGAAACGTCCCAAAATCCCGTTAAAAACCAGACCCACCACCACCAGCACGTCAGGTAATTTAATATGATAAAAAAAGAAAGAAAGATCATTTTTATGTTTGTGTAATATATGTAAATTTTATTTATTTTATTTGATTGTTTTTTAGTTACTTCCTCAACCATCAACGCAACAAGCACCACAGAGTCGCTTATATCAACAAGGAATTTGTCCTCTACCCCCACCTCCGAGATTTTAACGCCCACCCCAGACCTTGATGTAGTCAAGAAGAAGGGTAAGTATTTTTTTTTATTTAAAATTAAAGAAGTCTTTTTATTTTGAAAAAAAAATCTCCATAGACCAATTAAACTTTTCTATTTTTTCAGAGCACGCTTTAATGACTGCCGTGATCTTCCTGTCATGCCTCTCGTTCCTGATGTTGGTACTGGTATGCCTTTTCCTTCACAAGAAAAAGTTGAGAAGGATGAAACGCACCAGAAAACTTCCGCTGGCCGAGGGTCTTGGTAGTTCGGATGTGATCTTTATAAACAGTCGCGATCGCCGGACAGAGCGCTATTTCGAGAAAAAATTTGAGTGAACTACTTTGCTTGTAAAATTTTGCGACTTTGTCGCATAAAACTTCCTCGGTCCATGACGCGAACTATCTGCCTCTGTGTCACTGTCCATGTTTAATCAGAGTCTGTGTCAGTCACTGTACATCTTTTTTTTTATCAAGATCTGTATCTCTACATCTTGTCCATGTTTAAAAAAAGAAAAATTATGTATATATATTTATTTTGTTAAAACTTTTGCTGCCGCGTCTATCATGCACACAATCATTTTCTGTATCACTGTACATCTTGTCCATGTTTAAAAAAAAAAGAAAAATTATGTATAATTTTTTGTTTTTTTTAAAACTTTTTATATTTGCTGCCACTTACTTCCTCTGCCCATGAAGCAAAATTCCTGCCTCTTTCGTTGACTTTCTCGAAATATACGTTCATGGTTCTTTTTTTTAAAAAAGTGTATACTTATATTTATTTTTTGTTGCGATTCTTTGTCTTCTCGAATCAATCTACACTATTTTTGGTATTAAGAAAAAAAATTGTCTTGTACCTGTCTTGTATTTGAATAACGACACCGAAAATAAAACGAATTTAAAACTTTTTTCTGTTGTTACATTCATATAGATATCCAGGATGAAGGAATTTGTTTGACTTCGGGAGGTGAAGAATCTCCGATTTTCCCCAAAACACCTATTCTTTTCTCAGGTTTAGTCACAGCAGGTGTTGGTTTAGAATCCTTTAATCGTAGATACTCCTCTTTAGGTATGAGAACGTATGCAGTGAACATGTTTAGTCAGTTCCAGAAGGAGTGGTTTTAACAAGACCGGAAGAAATCCGTGTCGTCTCAGTTGACGAAGAACGTGTCGATATTTGTACAAACTTTTGATAAAAGTCTCCCAAGGAATGAGTGCACGGTTATGAATCACGTTATAAATGACTTCAAGTAAGGCTTTCAGTTTCAAGTAAGGCTTTCAGTTGCTGCACACTAATAGTTTCCAGTAACACTCGCCGCTGTCTGACAGACGCAGTAGCTAATAAATTTAAGAAGGCCAAGTTTCGTTTAAGTCGTTCGCTCATCGTTTCATGTACACCGTCAGTAGGTCCTCGGGAAATATTCCCGACCGTAACGCGTAGTCTCTGTTGCCACTGACTGTCAGTTCTATTAATAAATAGGTATGAGGTTTTTGCTTCGCTTTTTTGTAAGCATCCAGGAAATATTTCGTCTGCCCAGGGTAGAGTTGTGTAGCCAGAAATTTGACTTGAAAATTATCCCGAGAATTCTTAAAAAGAATTATGTACTGACAGTTGAGAGAAATAACTCGACTGTCCTTACTCTGAGGGAATAAGTTTTGAGAAATAGATATGACAGATATATTCATGTGATGCACGTGAATGGTAAATAATTCCATGTAATCAAAGGACTGAATAACACTGTAAACCAAATCGTCTAACAGCAGTAATAACCCTCCTTCTTTCTCGCTCCATTCTGATAGATCTTCTTTGGTAGGTAGTTCTTCGTGAAAGAGAATAGACGAATCGTTATCGCGTATTTTTTTGAAAAGCGGGCTGCCACTGAGAATAGGCGTACACGATGTTACGAATAGGTTTTGAGAAAACTTCCGGATTGTTTAAAATTCGCTGAGTAAATCTAGTTTTACCACTCTGACTGGGACCGCTCACGGATAAAGAGAAAGGCACGCGGAAAGCTAAATCACTAGGATTCATCTCGCCGAATGATATTAATTTTTTTTTCATAGATGTCTAAGGAAAACGACGGAGTTAGATAGACGTATTTACTAGATATCTGTGGGCGCGTCCCCTGCAAGACAAAACCAGTTCCGGTGTGCTCACTACTCTCCAGAAATGTTTCGAGGAAATGGGGACCCCCCGAAAGATTAAAAGTGATTTAGGGAAAGATTTTACCTCCCGAAAAGCAGAGAACTTTTTTAAATCGATCGGTGGAAACCATTTTACCACTCAAGGAGAAGCCAAGAGCAATTACGTCGAACGCATCATAAGAACTTTAAGAAGTTTGATACACAGATATTCGAAGAAGGCGCGTTCGTTTCGATACATCGATTATCCAGAATTATAATATAACACCTCATAAAAGTCTGGGTGATAAAGCTCCCGCAGAAATCAACAAACAGAACGAAGTTCATCAGATTATTTCTCAGTACTTAACCAGCCCGAGTGTGAAGAAAAAGATTAAAAAATTGGGGAAGATCAAGAAAATCAGGAAACCGAATTCACCTTTCCGTTTTAAAGTGAACGATACTGTCCGCCTATCGCACCTGAAACATCCATTTGAACGTGAATTTATGGAAAAGTTTACGGGGGAGATTTTCGAGATTAAATCTAGATTTTTAAAGCACAATATACCCATGTACAAAGTGCAAGATTTAAATGGACAGGAACTGACTGGGAGTTTTTATCAATCAGAATTGCAGAAGGTACAAAAACCCAAGGACACTGTATGGGAAATTGAAAGGATTCTGCGTAAAAAACGACGACAAAATAAGACGTATGTACTAGTTAAGTGGTTGAATTTCCCTCGTTCATTTAACAGTTGGATTCCGGAGAGCGATGTACGCGATTTGTCGTAATGGATTTTTACATGGTCATCTCGAATCGCGATTCTTCACATTATTATCCTCATAACGCGCCTAACGATTTTATGCGAGCTGAGTATTGAAGCGGAACGGAATGATGGAATACTCGTCTTTTCGGATATTTGTACAGAAACGTTTATCAAAAACGAGAAGAGACCGTTACTAGGCAGGTTGTTACTGAATGCGGGACAATATAACGTCGCCTTTCAACACATTATGTATATACCAGTGCAAACAAATGACTTTCATTCTATTCGAGTGTTCATTGAAAGTTCCGAGTCTCCTATATAAGACATTACGTGTCTTCTACATTTCAAGAAATATCCGTTTATTTGAAGAATGCGGACTTCTAATGTGTACATCGCCGACACTAAAAAAAGGTCGGATTTCCTTGTGAATATAGATACGACACCGATGATTAATAATTCTTATCGTCAGCGAGGGGGTAACCTGGGGAACGGAACCCTGAGCACCTCTCACATTGTTCCCGTAGATGCGCATTACATGTCGCTAGATAAAAGAGCATCGCCACATGTACCAGAATTCACCCTCGTTTCGTCCGCGCAAAGAGACGTGCAACAAGCCCAGTCAGAATTGCGTCGCGAAAAGAAAAAGAAGAAAAGAGGTCAAAAGAGAAAAAGTAATGATAATTTCGATTAGTTAGACATGGACTCTGAAACCCCTCTCATGCGAAAAGGACTTTCCTCGCGACTTAAGGTTGCTAAAATGACAGTCGGATTATTGTTTTCCACTGACCAAGACTCTACATGTGGGTGTTTGTGTTTATAAAGGAACATTGACCGTAGACTTTAGACGACTAGTAAACAACAGACCTACTTTAACAGTAATTCAATTCGATGCTTGGCAATGGTATTACCTAAAAAGAACTTGACCATTCATTGACCGAGCTCTCAGCGCCATACAATCCAGACGCGATTACTCTCGCAATAAAACTAGCATCTTCCCGCGGTAACGCGTAAAACGGCAACATGGATAACATACAAGAAGGTCTTCCCAAAGAATTATTATTATTTCATCTCCCCGTCACTCAAACAGCGGTAACCAGAACTTATTACGTGGATTGTCGACCCGTGTCACAGATAAGTGAGACAGGACCCGTAGAATTCCATATCGCAGGAACAAGGGACTACTTGGATTTGAAAAAAAAGTTTACTCTACATTAAAGCGCGGATCGTAAAGGCAGACGGAACGTCGTTAACTCCCGATGATAAAATATGTCCTGTCAACAATTTTCTCCACAGTCTCTTTAATCAGATTGACATCTCGTTGAAGGAAAGCAATTCCCCAGCAGTGGCGGGGCTACCTACGCTTATAAAGCCTACTTACAAAACTTCTTGAATTACGGGGAGGAAGCTAAACAGACTCAGCTGCAGTGTTGTTTATTTTTTAAAGACGATGCCTCTTACATGGATGTCAGTAATCCCAACGGCGCTAATTCTGGCCTGTATTTCCGTACGGTTTTTACAAAACAGAGCAGACCTTTCGATCTGGAAGGACCTATCTTGGAGGACGTATGTCGACTTAATCGATTCGTGTTAAACGGAGTTGACGTAAACTTAAAACTTTACAGACAAAACCCTTCCTTCTGTATAATGACTGCCGAAACAGACCCAAACTATAAAATTGTATTCGATTATGTCATTTTTCGAGCTTGTAGAGTACAGGTATCACCAGAAGTTATCGTGGGGCATAACAAAGCTTTAGAACAAGGTACTGCCAAATACCCCTTCATTCAAACCGATGTAAAAATGGCTTCCATCGCTTCTGGTCAGACAAGATTTATATGGGATAATATCTATCTCTCCCAGTTTCATAGTTAAATCTTGCTAGGCCTAATATCTACAGAGGCTCAGACGGGGAATTATTTCAAGAACCCTTTTAATTTTCAATCGTTCGGAACTAGCCAAATTGGGATCTTTGTAAATAATGTCAGCGTGCCCGGACAGCCATTATAAAATTGACAACGACTGCTATATATCAGCCTATAAAAGTTTATTCGATATCGTCGATAAAAACCAGATGGACTCGGGAAACAACATAGATCGAGATGACTTGAAAGAAGGCTACGCTCTTTATGGTTTTATCTTACAACCGAATTTATGTTATGTTGAACTCTGTGAACTGAATCCAGAAGAGGTTCATCTTGGATCTCAGCTATGTTAAGGACCTATATGGAAAATAGTACCTCTGCGCCGTTTTAATATATATAGCTTCTTTTAAAAAATTCAACAAAGCAACTGAATTCTTGTAGAAAATGTAATATAGCTATCAATAATGGATAGGACTGGGCTGTAGTTATTACCATTTGTATCGCACGTATCAGCTGTTTGTCACGTGACTTGTATAAAAATAGGATTGTTAAGCTGAATGTAGGAAATGTGGATAGTGCAAGGGCATAT